AATTGTGCAATTTCACTCACTCATTAATCTAATGTTAAAAACTCTAGATTTTCCAAATAAAGTAAAGAATGTAAAAAAACAGAAAAAAAAACCCAGGACTCTTGTCTTCAAAAATTTACATATTTCAAGCTTGTTGCATTATTTTGTATGTGTATAAAAGGGGAGTATATTGTGTTGTATATGCATATTCCCTGACTTGTCAGCACTGGTTTTTATTTGCTGCTGAAAGAAATAAATTAAAAGGTTTTGAAAGTGTAATGTATTTTGTTTCTCAGTAAGCATTTAATACAGGATTTTGAATCTTTAAAGCCACAATTTGGTAAGAAATGATTAATTATCATTCACCTTTTAAGTAAAAGTGTCATTTAGAAGCATATTGACTCATCTATAGTAGTATCTGGCATGATAATGGGCCCTACTAGCTCAAAAAAAAAAAAAAATATATATATATATATATGGCACCTCTAATTTGACAAAATGCTATAAAGCTGCTTTATGAATAGGTGCCATATAGCACCAAAAGGGTTCCCCTATGATTACGAGCCAAAGAACCACTGCTGGTGCTATATGGCACCTCTTATGGTTCTACATAGCACCATTTGACAAAGGTGCTATATAGCACCTGTAAAAATAGGTGCTAAATAGCACTAAAAGTGGTTCCCCTATGATTACGAGCCAAAGAACCGCTTTTAGTGCTATATAGCACCAAAAGCGGTTCTTTGGCTCGTAATCATAGGGGAACCACTTTTAGTGCTATTTAGCACCTATTTTTACAGGTGCTATATAGCACCTTTGTCAAATGGTGCTATGTAGAACCATAAGAGGTGCCATATAGCACTTTGTCGAATGGTGCTATGTAGAACCATAAGAGGTGCCATATAGCACTTTGTCGAATGGTGCTATGTAGAACCATAAGTGGTGCCATATAGCACTTTGTCGAATGGTGCTATGTAGAACCATAAGTGGTGCCATATAGCACTTTGTCGAATGGTGCTATGTAGAACCATAAGTGGTGCCATATAGCACTTTGTCGAATGGTGCTATGTAGAACCATAAGTGGTGCCATATAGCACTTTGTCGAATGGTGCTATGTAGAACCATAAGAGGTGCCATATAGCACTTTGTCAAATGGTGCCATATAGCACTTTTTCTCAAAAATGGTGTTCAACAGTAGTTCTTTGGCTTTTAATCAAACAAAACTGGTGCTAAATAGCACTAAAAGTGGTTATTTGGCTCGTAAGCATAGGGGAACCTCTTTTGGTGCTATATAGCACCGATCTTTAAAGGTGATATACAGCACCTTTGTCAAATGGTGCTATGTAGAACCATAAGAGGTGCCATATAGCACTTTGTCGAATGGTGCTATGTAGAACCATATGAGGTGCCATATAGCACTTTGTCGAATGGTGCTATGTAGAACCATAAGAGGTGCCATATAGCACTTTGTCAAATGGTGCCATATAGCACTTTTTCTCAAAAATGGTGTTCAACAGTAGTTCTTTGGCTTTTAATCAAACAAAACTGGTGCTAAATAGCACTAAAAGTGGTTATTTGGCTCGTAAGCATAGGGGAACCTCTTTTGGTGCTATATAGCACCGATCTTTAAAGGTGATATACAGCACCTTTGTCAAATGGTGCTATGTAGAACCATAAGAGGTGCCATATAGCACTTTGTCGAATGGTGCTATGTAGAACCATAAGAGGTGCCATATAGCACTTTGTCGAATGGTGCTATGTAGAACCATAAGAGGTGCCATATAGCACTTTGTCAAATGGTGCCATATAGCACTTTTTCTCAAAAATGGTGTTCAACAGTAGTTCTTTGGCTTTTAATCAAACAAAACTGGTGCTAAATAGCACTAAAAGTGGTTATTTGGCTCGTAAGCATAGGGGAACCTCTTTTGGTGCTATATAGCACCGATCTTTAAAGGTGATATACAGCACCTTTGTCAAATGGTGCTATGTAGAACCATAAGAGGTGCCATATAGCACCAGCAGTGGTTCTTTGGCTCGTAATCATAGGGGAACCTCTTTTGGTGCTATATGGCACCTATTCTTAAAGCAGCTTTATAGCATTTTGTCAAATTAGAGGTGCCATATATATATATTTTTTTTTTTTTTGAGCTAGTAGGGCCCATTATCATGCCAGATACTACTATAGATGAGTCAATATGCTTCTAAATGACACTTTTACTTAAAAGGTGAATGATAATTAATAATTTCTTACCAAATTGTGGCTTTAAAGATTCAAAATCCTGTATTAAATGCTTACTGAGAAACAAAATACATTACACTTTCAAAACCTTTTAATTTATTTCTTTCAGCAGCAAATAAAAACCAGTGCTGACAAGTCAGGGAATATGCATATACAACACAATATACTCCCCTTTTATACACATACAAAATAATGCAACAAGCTTGAAATATGTAAATTTTTGAAGACAAGAGTCCTGTTTTTTGTTTTTTTTACATACATTCTTTACTTTATTTGGAAAATCTAGAGTTTTTAACATTAGATTAATGAGTGAGTGAAATTGCACAATTGCTTTTAATACAACCACTTGCAAACTGTTATGCTTTGAAGTCTTTTGTAAGTCCTTCAGGATTTCAAAAACAATATAGAAACTGGAACTAAAACTGGAAGAGAGAGAAAGAGAGAATATTGACTCCTCAAGTCTACTCACAGATTGAGTTGTACACCCTTTTTACAGTGACAGGAAGTCCGGCTGCATCCTTCAATTTCAAAACAACACAGTACAAAAAGATCAGTATTTTTTTCAGTCCTGTAGGATACTGGATTCCAAACGCAAAATATACACACAAGAGGAGACCCAGTGCCATCGAGATGTCCTCGCTCTCCTCTGTGATTACCTGGCCATCCAAAGTGAGCACAATGTGGTCATACTGCATGGGATGACCCTCCCTGCAGCCTTTAAGCACCATTTTAGGTGTTGGGATGTCAGGAGGGCTGGTCTGAGCATGGCCCTGGAGGAGAGGAAATAATAGCATGAACCATCTTCTCATATCTATTTTAAAAGCAAACCTTATGAGTTAAATTAATTTTAACTACTGTCGTACAGCTGCTCAAATACTTTTGGCCATTAACTGAAAATGAATGTAATTTTCTCTTTACTTTGATAGGATAGTTTGTGTAGACCAACAAAAACACTAATGTTTGTATTAAAATCATTTGCATAATAAAATGTGAGTGTGAGTAATAAGTGTAGTGCTTTGATTAGATTGTGCTTCACACACTGTAGTAAACTGTTCATGGCTCACCTCAACTTCATACAGCAACCCCGGGTCCTCCTTGAACAGTGCAGGCAAGAGCAGAATAGCTGCTTCCAACTGTTGGCCTTTAAACAAAATAACATCATTAGACATGGGGGACATGGGGGATGCTTTTACCCAATACTTTTTTGTTTTGTTTTTTAAACATTCATTACTGTGCAAAGTATATAAAGTATATTTCGTTATTACGCATACGCTTAGTCGAATGCACAGCCTTGCAAAGCAGTGTTTCCCCTGCCATTATATTAGGGGGGTGGCCCGCCCCCCTTGAAGGTCAAGTTAATTTTATTTTCTATAGTGCCAGATCACAACAGAAGTCATTTAAGGTTTCCTTTCCTATAGAACAGGTCTATACCTCGTTCTTTTATTTAAAAAACTAAATAGCCCTATGTTATTTATCTTATTTACACGACGGCATATCATTTCTGTCTCTACATGGTCGTGCGTTTACAATTCTCCTCTGCTCTCTCTATCGCGCACAGCGGAGTTCCGTCCCGATGTGCGCGCATAGAACGGCATATACGGCATATCATTTCTGTCTCTACATGGTCGTGCGTTTACAATTCTCCTCTGCTCTCTCTTATCCCGATGTCGGAGTTCCGTCCCGATGTGCGCGCATAGAGACACACACACACAGTACGGCAGTTCGACACGACAGTTCTCCACACTCGGTTCGGCATGCACTTGCACCGCAGTTCATCTTATATCTGACGAAGCATATGCATATAATATGGTTTGTTGAAAATAAATAAAACAGACAGACAGACAGAGGCTAATGTATGTTTCTGTGAATACATGGATACGCATTCTGGCTTCCCCTAAACTTTGTTCACTTCGAGTGCCGTATGCTCTATATGACCAGTCATTTACACCATCATCAACCGGGTGTTGATAGCGCGTGATTGCAGATGAGACAGATGAGAGCACATATTGCTATCTGTGTTTTAACTAAACTCATTTAAGCCTTGCCAATTTTAATATTCCAGCGAAAGAGAACTCTTGTGCGTGCTCTAAGAAGATTTGTGCACTCATCCGAAGCACGCACATGGAAGCGCGTGTACAGCGCACAAATATTGAGTTCTCTTTCAAGTCTTGCGTTTGAACGGACAAATTCACACAAAAATTATGTCAACATACCCGTCTTGGCGATTATTCTAACAAACATAGTAGGTTATGTCTTAAGTGAATTTAAACACTCGAGAAAGAATGCATGTGTTCAGTATCAGTGTACTGAAATCTCTCATTGCTCTTGACTGAATAGCTTTTGTAACTTAATAATGATTAATCTTTATTAAATTTATACAGTGAAGATTATATGCAATGTTGTTTTACATTTGATTAGCTACTTTCAGTTTCCGTACCTGAAAACTACTGTTAGATACCTGAAAAACCTGAAAAGCAGCTTAATTGATGTATCTTTGCTCTACTGTATTTATTTGTGCTGTTGCTTGTAGTTTGATTATTTGTTCTTATTTTCTTTATTTTCATTTGACAGTAGTCCTTTAACACTTTTCCCTGAACATGTACCGAACCGTACCGAAACCGGGATAGCCGTGACTTTCTGCTTTTTAGCAATTGTCGCTGTAGCTTGCACACGTTTTTCTTCGACTACTGTGTGAATCGACACCCCCAGGGCATGATTGTCATCTTGTGGATAAACTAATAACTGCAAAAAAATTAAATGCGCATGTGCGACCTGCGCATAAAGTACGCGCAGTTACAAAAATATGGAAACTTGCATATGCCTAAAAAGGTAAGTATACTTTGGGCTTAAGACATACATGCAGGAAGGAAGACAGGTATGATCTCAGGCAGATAGGTAGGGTGTCAGTCAGTAGTAGGCTGAAAATCTAAAGCAGTGCAGATTTAAATATAGCTGCAGGCAGCAATTAAGGGGCCATGCACAACAGAAGAAAACAAGGAAGCTAGCAGCAGATTAACAATGTCATAATGGACTATGGTAGCAACTGAGACAAAGAAACTGCATGTTAATTTTGAAGTCAATCAGACCAACGGTACTGTAGTTAGAGCCAATTGCATGTTTTGTTAAATTATAGCGCCACACCTAATTACCTTTTTTCAGTCTGCCATCTTCACAGTCCTCAATCATTCGCCTGAACTTGTCCTTCAGGGGACTCCGCGAAACTTGAAGGACTCGAGGTGCCATTACAGAGAGCTGTGTGAGAATTTGTTGGTCCACATCAACACTGGTGTGGTCTCTCAGATCCCAAAGGAGCTTATGTTAAGATGAAGGCAAAGTAGAAAAGACATGTATTAAAATTTAGTCATAACTCAAACAATTAAATAAGGAGGCAATTAACACACTACAGTACTTACCATTTTCGCCAGTCTGAAACACGGGAACTCAGAGAGAGTCTCCTCTGTGCTATGGTTGGACACAAAATTTCTTCGGTAGCATTTTATCAGCGCCATCTTTTCTTTGAGGAGCTCTATGTTTGGTCGAAGCTTCTCTGTTTCCTCCTTCATTACTCGCAGATGTTCCCTGATGCTTCGTTCGTCTTCTCCAGCATCAACCTATTTGGGGTAGTGAAATTGTTACAAATGGGGGCTGTCAATAAAGTTTGACAAAAAAATTGATGACTTTCACAGGCTACGTACACATTTCAACCAAGAAATTTCCATGAACTTTCCATAACTTTTGAGGCAAATATTCATTCATAACCTATCTTTACGCAAAGAAAATGTATTTCCCTATATATGAATGATCAATAGAAAAGGCCTAATGGTCATTCTGGACAGACTCGAGTTCATAACTGTACAAAATAAAGCAATAAGCCCCAAGAAGCCTTGGTTTACCAGAATCAGAATCAGAAAGAGCTTTATTTCCAAGTATGTTTGCACATACAAGGAATTTGTTATAGTATCACAAGCTTCCAGTACACGGAGACAACAACAACACACAGATAATAAAAATAAGATGTGAATAAAATACACATGCATAAATATAAACCACAAAAAAAGAATAAATTGTATGTACAGGTGTGCTATAGATAGAATAGGAATAGAATAAAATAAAATAAAGTTGTAGGGATGTACTAGGATTTAGGGTGATAAATAAGTATAAGGTTATTGCACATACTTTAATTGAACAATGGGAGAACATTAACTGTTCATGAGGTAGATTGCCTGGGGAAAGAAACTGTTCTTGTGCCTGACTGTCCTGGTATTCGGTGCTCTGTAACGCCGACCAGATGGCAAAAGTTCAAAAAGGAGATGGCTTGGATGTGATGGATCCAGAGTGATTTTCTGAGCCCTTTTCCTCACTCTGGATGTATACAGTTCTTGGAGGGTAGGCAGGGGAGCACCAATAATCCTTTCAGCAGTCCGAACCGTTCTCTGTAGTCTTCTGATGTCTGATTTTGTAGCTGAACCAAACCAGACAGTTATTGAAGTGCACAGAACAGAACAGACTCGATGTCGATGACCAAAACAAGCACGCCCCTACCCCAAAAGGGTCTCGCCCCTAATTTGATAGCTCCGCCCACACATACGTACAGAACCCAGGCAACGATTAGTTCTGTGAAACAAAGCAAAACCAATGTTACACCGTGTCTACACCAGACGCGAGTGGCGAGGTGCGACAAAATACTATAGAACTCATTATAATCAGTGATGCTGTCTACACTGGATGCGGCGCGACACGACAAATCCCAGACAGAAAACTGCTGCTGCGTTCTATT